TATATAATAAACAATATATTTTATAAACATAAAACATATGTTGGTGCAATCAATAACATAAATTTTACATATTTTCGAAAAGCGGTGAAGACATTTAGTAGAGGTTATATTGCTAAACATAATAATTAATCATATAAATAATGATAATCACGTTCACTTTTTGGCGTTCAATTTAGTTCACGTTCAGTTTTTGTGCACTAGTACTCATCGATTATTGACACTTGATCACATTTTAGATTGACAATACGATTATTACAACACTCAGTGTTTATGTGTCTTTAAAACCAGATTTACATGTTCCTTTTCCTTAGTAGGAGTATTACAACTGGTGTAATAATATCGGCGTTTTGTTTAAAAACATTGTTTAAAAAAAAATTAATAAATGAGTATGGTATATTATCATACTAATCTCGATAACATTTATATGGTATCTAATATTAGTAGTAGTTACAAAAAAACGATTGTTACTAAATTGGATTAACGTTGTCGTGTAAACGTAGTCATTGGCTGGATTTAGTAAAAAGAACAGCTCAAGAAGCACTTACTAATTATCGTTCTTGATTGGTATATATTTTTGGATCTATCAAAAATCTGAAGGAATGCTAGCCACAGACAATAATCACTGAGCGTTCACTGAACTGTTTTTTTCTGCAGAAAGTGATTATTAGTTGCATTTAGCGAATACAACGGTTGTACAACAGTTGAATAATTTGTCAACGTAATTGGTTTAAATTTAGGGATCTAACAATAAAGACCAATAATCAATGACTGCTTACTGATCGCAGCCATTGGCTATATTCAGCAGAACGTTTAATTTGCAACTGTTGGAAGTTTTTTGAGCTGAGATTAGATTATTCTTTTAGATCTAGAGAAATAATCCAATGTCAGCACAGGAAACTTCCAACAAGTTGCAAAATAAACGTTTTACTGAACGCGGTCATTAGTTGCGTTCAGCGAACATAACAGTTGTACAGCGGTGGAGTAATTCGTCAACGTAATTGGTTTAAATTTAAGGATCTAACATCAAAAAACTGAAGCCAACGGTACACGATGCTTATTTTCGTGCTGGATTGCTTGCTGGATAAAAATACTGCGTTCTGATTGGTGCATTTTCAAAAATAGATGACAATATATCAATGAAACGCAGCATTTCCATCCAGCAAGCGATCCAGCACGAAAATAAACACCGTGCGCCGCACTGGCGTAATAATCAATGGTTGCTGCTCACTGATAGCTTTTTCCACTGAACGCAACCATTGTCACTTTCTTCATTCTTAGGCTGTGTTCGGAAATACCGCACTGAGGATGGAGTAGCATTTAATTAACCAATCATGATAATCATGATAAAGAAATCTTGGTTCTTTTTATTCTGAGTAGTCAATTAAACGCTATTTTACTTTCAGAGTATGATCCAATTGAAGTTATAAATACTTTAAAGTGTTTAAAAACAGAATATGATTAGTCTATACGGCGTTTCGAAACATATGCAACATGTGGTCTGTTCTTTATAGTTGCATTGTTGAACTGGTGTAATAAGCTGAAGTAAGAAAACATATGTTTGTCTCACTTTAACTTATTGTATTAGTTCAGCAGTGCAGCTATAAAAAACAGACCTATGAAATGGATTATACTTTCAATGTGGTGTTTTCAAATGCAGCCTTAAAAAAGAATTGATGAAAATCTTGCATTTTTGTTCTCAATAGGTCAGATAGTGTGGAGACAGTCGCAATATCAGAACAAAATGTTAATCTTGGACGCGAAAGGGTTGGACCACAGGATTTTGAGTTATGTAAAGTTATTGGAAAAGGCGGTTATGGCAAGGTTTTTCAAGTACGCAAAACAACTGGAAATGACAGTGGCACAATCTTTGCTATGAAGGTACTAATATCTCTAATTACTAAATTGCTAATGGTGAAAGAATGTTTTTTTATAAATATTTCGAGTAGAGGTACTTACAATAAAACTGAAAGCTTAAAAAACAAATATAGTCTCACTGTTTACAATATTTTTACATATGTTAAAATCATGTATAATATTTTATATTTCATATATCTTCTGGTAAATGTTTTACATATGTGTGTGGTGTGTGTGTGTGTGTGTGTGTGTGTGTGTGTGTGTGTGTGTGTGTGTGTGTGTGTGTGTGTAGAATATATATGAAATATATAAATAGGGAATATATATGAAATATATATATGTAGCCTTTTTACTAAGTTATTTACATCTAATATTTGTAGATTTATATAATTATTAAGTAGAAGTAGAATTAATTAACTTTTATCTTTCTATTTTTAGACTTCTGTTAAATCTTACATTTTTTTACATTAATTTTTATTGGTGTAAATACATTGCATTTTGCAAATGCATCAATGTATTAATGTACAATGATTATCATCATTAATTAAATTTTCTCATATTATTATGTAGAAAAATATTGAGATGATATTATCAAAAAATGAATTCTTCATGAGATATTTTATACTTTGTACTATAAAATATTAAAATGAAAAATATGTCGAAATGTATTCACTTTTTGATGATCTTATCCTAGTATTTTTATGTCGAATGAACAAAAGAATCGATCGTGTTTAAAAAAAAATTATATAAACTATATTGTTAAAAAAATGAAGTTGACTGAAATAATTTTGAATTGTTGATTATATAACGAAATTACTATCAACTTATGTCCTCCTCCAAACTTTACAATTTTTGCCTAAATATATTTTTGATTCGACCTTGTCCTGAGATAATAAAAGTGGTAGTAGATTTTAATAGGACACCAAATATATTTATCACATATATTTATTATTTAAAACAGGTTTTACGCAAGGCTTCAATTATAAGAAATCAGAAAGATACAGCTCATACTAAAGCCGAAAGAAACATTTTGGAAGCTGTAAAGGTTAGTTATATTTCCATCCGTTGGAAAGTTCAATCTCACAAATTTATAATTTGTAGGCATATATTATATCATAGGCATATAATATAATTATGTGCCTATGATATATAATTTTTCAAAAGTGTTGTACACACAAAGAAAGAAAGAATTAAGAAATGAAATATTGTTAAATAAGCAAGTACTAAAAGCAAGTTACTCTTGTAATTTAGTCTCTGTTACTTATATTTTATGCAAAATACCAATTTATTTATTTATGCTTGCATCTGCCAGCATCCTTTTATCGTAGATCTCAAGTATGCGTTTCAAACTGGTGGCAAGTTATATTTAATATTGGAATATATGTGTGGTGGTGAGTTATTTCGACATTTAATCGCTGAAGGAATTTTCTTAGAAGACACTGCATGGTAAGTGAATCATGAAAATATTTGAAATTATAAATATTTATAGTATAATTGTTTTTTATTTTGCAGTTTTTATTTATGCGAAATTATATTGGCTCTACAACATCTTCACTTGCAAGGAATTATATACAGGTGCTATATTTTTCTGAAAACTTCTATATTCACGTATTTCAAGCATTAAATTATAATATAAGCTCCTCAATCAATAACATATGAACAGTTTATCTAAATAGCATTGAATTAATAATATATCATTTAATAATAAATCATTTTAGAGATCTAAAACCGGAAAATATTCTATTGGATGCAGAGGGTCATATTAAGTTAACTGATTTTGGATTATGTAAAGAGCATATACAGGAGGGTACAGTTACACATACATTCTGCGGTACTATCGAATACATGTAAGAGCTATAAAATATGTACCATAATATTTTTTGAGTGTAAGTTAAACAATATGTATTAATCGTCGATCTATATTATTATAACCAAGGGCACCTGAGATTTTAACAAGAAGTGGACATGGGAAAGCAGTAGACTGGTGGAGTTTGGGAAGTTTAATGTACGATATGCTAACAGGATCTGTATGTATTATGGTTAATACATTAGATATTCAAATTTAATAGTAAAATCCTTTATTTTACATTATTTGCTTTAGCCACCATTTACTTCAGAAAATAGAAAAAAAACTATTGATAAGATTTTGCGAGGCAAATTGATTCTTCCACAATATCTGACTCCTGATGCTAGAGATCTTGTTCGGAAATTACTAAAGGTTAGTGTTTAAAAACCAATTTATAAACACCTCTTATATCCTTCATGTAACCATTACATGATCGGTGCTATTTTCGTTATGAAAAACATGCATAATTCTGTTTATATCTCACACTTATAGAATATATAATTATTTTCTATACAGAGACAAGTTGCACAAAGGCTAGGTTCTGGTCCATCAGATGGTGAGCAAGTAAAAGCTCACCGTTTTTTTAGACATATCAATTGGGATGATGTAATATCTCGAAAATTAGAACCACCGTTTAGACCAACGTTAGCCAGTGAAGACGACGTATCACAGTTTGATAAGACATTTACCACTTCTGCACCAATAGATTCTCCAGCAGAATGCACGTTAAGTGAATCAGCTAATAGGGTATTTCAGGTAATTTTTTTCTTTTTTTGATTTATGATTTTGATATATAATACAAGATGATTGATGTTATACAGTGCTCAATAGCAGGGAAGAGGAGAGGGGGGTCAAAACTAATCATTTTCTGTTAATATATTTAAGCTAGAAAACGTTTCCTTTCCATGTTATGGAAAAGATTCCATAAATGTGTCTTGCGAGTAAGCTATCCTTAAATTTTTTAAGTGAAATCATATGGTTTTTTAATATAAATCGATTTCTCAAGTCATTCTACGTATAAAAATACAACATGAAATATTCTGGAAAATATTAGGATAAAATGTAAATTATTTCGGAAAATATTCCTTCTAGTGATCTTACTTCATTCCTTTTATGCACACTCTATTCTGCAAATGCTTTACTATTCATTACATCGATAATTACTACAAATTTCCGACTAACTGTATTCGTTTAAAGCTACACATTTCTTATAACTGTTGATTAATTCGGAAAACAGTAATGTAATCAAAGATAAAGTGACATTTTGACAGCTAATGTTTCGTATGAATCTGTAAAGAACATTATTCACTTATGTATAACGCGCAATCAGCATAAGAAAAATAAGAATATTAAGAAGATAAGAAATTAATATATGAAATTATTATAATTAACAATGCTAATTACGTGTTACATGCAAGCGAATAATTTTCTTTACTAATATATATAAAATGTAAATATGTCTGATTCGAATAAATATTAGAACTCTATTTTGAATACGTGCTCACTTTCTTGATTAATTAACAGTTGTGAGAAATACGTAGTTATAAACGGATGTGACTGGTTAGAAATTTTTTATACAATTTTTATCAACTATCGATCTATCGAATGGTAAAGTATCTATAGAATTGAGCGACGGATACACTGGTTGCAAAATGATTTAAATGCAACGAAGTTGAGAGATAGCAAACTGTTACGATTGAAAGTCACTATCGATAAAGAGAATTACTTAAATTTTTTTCCGGACGCATCCGTTCCTAGATAGTCACGCATCGTGACTGTTGATTAGTCGGAGATATAGCAATGATGTACCCGAGTAGCTATGATGACATCTTGACAGCTTGTCGTTTCATTTGCATTTATAAGAATGATTACTCTCATGTGTTACATGTAATCAACAGGAATGTGATATGATTAATGTGCGTTCAGAAATGACTAGAGAGGATAACAGTACTTTAAAAATTTTGCTCGATTTCGTTACTATCAAATGACTTAACTTCCCAGTATACAACTACAATAACATTGCATCTATATTATATCATACTTAATATTAAGTCTTAATATTATTAATATTCTTAATATTAAGACACTAGAGAGAGAGAGAGAGTGCGGCGACTGAGAAAGAATAAAACATGCGACCTAATACAATGAAAATATGATTCTTAACCCAGTAAATCAATCTAGGTAATCAATAGTAGCATTACATCAAGTCATTATGTTATTATTGTGTTATTATTTACCACTCAACAATTTAAATGCAATATAATGCATGTGTTATATTGCATTTACATTGTTGAGTGATAAATTATAACATTGACAAAATGTCATTGTTAGTGTTTATTGGAAAGTTAAATTATCTAATAATAATGAAATCATACATAGTTTTTAGGGAAACTTTATCTTCTTCAATTACTTATACATATGTATTAGATTTAATCGTACCCCAGCAAATAAAAGTAATATAATGTTATAATTTTCCACTCAATAATGCAATATAATGCGCGTGTTATGTAACAGTTACATTATTGAGTGAGAAATTATAATATTGATGTTATATTACTGTTAGTGTTTGCTGGAGTTATTGTCTTGTTGATTATATATAACACATGAGACTATAACCCTCCTTACGAATGCAAACGAAACGTCAAGATGTCACAGCTACTCGGATACATTGTTGCCATCTTTTCGGCCGGCATTTATCGTATATATAATACTACTATATAACCAGGGTGAGAGAGAAGTCCTGTCTCGCAACTATGGTGCAGGAATTTGTATTTTTCCTCTATCTCTACAGAGGTATGTATTCTGAACGTAATGCGCATGCGTCGGATTGACGTCTCTGCCAATAGAAAAATAAAATATATTTTAGCACGTGCGTGCGTGTGTGTGTGACCATCTGATCGCCACGTCTGCGTACTACGGTCAAAATACATACAGGATCTGCCAAAAGTTCCGGAACAGCTAATTATTTCAAAAAATTATTAAAAAAAAATGTTTGGAACAAAAGTTGTAGGGTTTAAAAAAAGCTATCAAACAATGATAATTGTTTGGCCTTAAAATGACTTTGAAAAGCGCTATTAACGTTAATAAAAATTTTTAATGAAACTCTCAATTTTTTGTTACATATTCTTATAGCTGACGTTGAGGCGTTTCCGAAACACTGGTCACATATCTTTTTCCATAAGAATTTTCCAAGTTATGAGGCTTGAGAGTTGCAATACCACCGACATTAACATTACCCAAGGTGTACCGTGTGGAGGTTACACGGTCAGATTTACATCTCTCTCTCTCTCTCTCTGTCTGTGTGTGTGTGTGTGTGTGTGTGTGTGTGTGTGTGTGTCAGCAGAGATTAGGATCCCATGGTGTGTCACTTCCATAATATTTAATGACTCCAAACCCTTTTTGCTATGTGTGTAACACATACACACATCTGACTATGCAATCTCCATGCGGTACACCTTGAGTAACGTTAATGTCGGCGGTATTGCAATTGCACCCTACAACTTTTGTTGCAAACATTTTTTTTTAATCATTATTTTTTTAAATAATTAGCCGTTCCAAAACTGTTGGCAGACCCTGTATATCGGACATCGTCTGTCCTTCCCTTCTGAGACAGCTCTCTCTTATAGGCAACATAGGACGACTGGCTATATAGTAATATTATATATATGGTATACATAGTCTGATCTTATATATAAGACCATCTTAAGGCTCCTGGATAGTCAACTGTTACAACTGTCCTTGTTTGATGACATCAGAAGCGAGAAAACGCATGTCAAGATTTCTTTCGTTTTACGTTCAAATAAAAAATATACTCATAAAATGACATTTGTGACTACCCAGGAGTTTAGCCCACAATTTATCTTCAGATGCTGCATAGCTGATTTCATTGATTACGAAGCATTTAAAGATAAATATGAGATGGTGTTAAATACAGGATGTTCCTTAAGTACCCAGCCACATTCAAGGGGGCGCGATTTTTTGGTTTATTTCAAGTAAAAATGTTCATATAAACATGTCCTAAATAGCTTAGTTTTCGAAATATAAGATGTTGAAATTTTCAGGAAAATGTAAATGTTACACAGGCTTTAGGATATTTTATTGAAATTTGGTGTGAGCTTATAACATATCAGGGGTAATATTTAAAAAATACAATAGTTAAAAAATAAAAAATTTGAAGTAAAACAATTAAATAAATTGTTGAAAATGACCAACTTCCTTTATGATACATACTTTGGTCCTCCTTCTTAAAGATTGACGTACACGTTCAAAAATACCAGGTGTATTGAAGAACTGAAGCCTGTTCTGTATTTTTCTTTATTGCTGTTTTTGCGACTGGCACTTCAAATAGATTATTACTACACGTTTTAATTTTCTTGAAAACACTATATTTTAGAAACTAAGCCATTTAGGTCACATGTTTATATGAATTTTTTTATTTGAAATAAATCCAAAATCGCCCCGTTGAGTATAGCTGGGTACTTAAGGAATATATTGTATAAGATCTGACTATGAATACTGGAATTAATCAACAGTTACAATGCATGACTATCTCGGAAGAAAATATTTAGTAACTCTCGATTTAAGGAATGGCTAAGCATATATGTAACTGAATTACAAGTTGTTCTCATTTTTCGAGCACCAATATTGCAACTAAGTTTAATATTTTTTTTTTTTTAATATTCTCTAGTGTATTAACACGTTATCTTCAACATATTTATTTTTACAACCTGTGGTATTATTCTATAACCATCTACAAACAACTGTCAGCTAGAGAATGTGCTATTGCTCAGATACACAGCAAAAAAGCTGCGCAACGACATGTACCAATCCGATAGTTGTCGATAAACGGAATAGCACCCCTATAACCCTATTCTGTAACTTCTTAATATCACTAGCCTAGGTTGTCGTTGCGTAACATTTTCTGCCATATATTATATCTGCACAACGGCGATGTAACGATAACGAAACTGTCATTAAAAGCTGCAGAATAGGCCTATTGTATTGTTACTTCAACTCTTTCATTGATAATGATTTTGAATCATGACAGTTTATTGTGTTTTTAATTTCATTGTATCTAAACCGTTTTGCAGTTAAGTACAGTTACAAAATAACCTATAGGATCGATTTATATTAAGAAAGATTATCCTGTTTAAAAAATCGAAAAGTGGCTTACATGCAGGTGTACTCGCAGAAACTTTTCCAACCATACAGACATACATACACAGTAATTTTTAATTTTTAATAAAAAATTTACATGCATATTCTATACATTGTATTTATAATATGTTCTAATAAATATGGATTTTCTCATAGATTTTATAGAAAATATACATTAGATTTGATGTAGATTTTATGGTATTATTTTACAATTAGATTTGATGTAGATTTTATGGTATTATTTTACAATTGCTATGTATATTTATTCCACGTATATAAATATATGAGATTGTGTTTAATAATGTAAATTTTTTTTTTAGGGATTTACATATGTCGCTCCAAGTGTGTTAGAAGATGTTAATTCGCAACCACGAGTTATAAAAGCTAGAAGTCCTCGTAAAGCGACTATGCGAGGTTTCTCACCTCGAACCACGCATTTTCCCTTTCACAATACACATTTACAAAGTCACAGGTTAGAATTGTAAAAGTTATAATTATTTTTAAATTATCCAAAATTATTCACATAATATACTTTGATCTTCAACTGACAATATAAATAAACTGATACCCATAATAATCAAAGTATAGAGTGTTTAATGAATATTATGTATATATGTAAGAAAAGCATTTTGATTCTTGGTTCGGATTTTCAATGTGCCAATATCTTACAGTCTAAAAAAGAAATAAATAATCGTTTTGAATAATAATAATAAATAAACAATGTACTAACGTAATAAACCATACACTACAAAGCAAGGTAAATAGCGGCATATGTAAGACTAATAGAAATATAAACATCTTTTTTGTTACTTAGAAAAGCTGTAGTACCGTTAGAAAAATGTTTCAAAATTCTTTGAAATTCTACTTATTCTAAGTGTCAACATTTACATTAAAGCGCCTATCTGTTTCTTGTGTTTGATTGTAAAATATTTATACATTGAAATCTACACCATATATATCAAGACGTTTATCTCATAGCATATATAATACAAGTTGTATCACTAGGATGAGTTTTAGCACCCTTCATTGAAGATAAAAAAAATAGTACAGTCTAAAATTGAATGATGTAACAAGGTCTATTTTTCTACCGAATCACTTTTTCCGCAAATATATTGGAAAATTTCAATTGCACTGTTTCTCAATTATATCAAATATACAGGATGTCCAGAAAGTTTTTACCAAATAGCAATTCGTAGGTAGAACAAGTTAAACTGATAAAGGGAAGTCACAAGATGGTATCCGATTTTAGTGATATTGATTGTATAAATATGAATTGGTATGAAGCTTTATCGAGCAAAAGGAGAAAACATATTTCTCAAGCATTTTATGGAAAATCGAAGTTAAAAATCCCAAGTATCATGTAAGTAAATTTAGCAAAGTGCTATAACGTAGTAATAACGTAGCTCGGCAATAGCGCGCCTGACTCGTGAATGCGAGATTGACTGGTTCGAGTCTCGATGAGTTATTTTTTTTTTGTCAGGATGCAATTTTATATAAAATAACTATAAATCACGTGGATTGATACATTTTTTATCTATTTCTTATTAAAAATGTGCATTTTTCCTTTTTTATGATCTGTTTTGAAAATTTGTTTTCGAAATTACTATTTATTAAAAATGAAATTATTTAAAGATTTTTTCCCTGAAAATTAACAAATTCAGATAGAAGACTGACATAAGAAACACAAATAAATGAAAAATGTTTTATCAATTGTTCGAAGCAGATGGATCAGTACACACACCTCAGGCAGGATGATATTCGTCTTAGAAGAAAGGAAACAATAAGTACACGATATTTTGCGCGTCGTACAAAAACTGTTATTTTATAATAATCTACTTTATGAAGTAGTCTACTTTATAACGTTATAAGAATGTTAGAAAGGAACATGTGGTATGTTATTTAAACTGCTCCAAATCATTAAAAAAAAACTAATTTTAGGAAATTTTTAAATAATACAATATTGTACAAATTTTCTATTTTAAAAAATGACAGAAATTTATATTTTTTACAATTTACTTTTCATCGTTTTATAAATTTATATTAATTTAAATAAATTTAAATTAATTAAAAAGTTAAATTAATTCAAATTGCTCACAATATTCTTACGTAATCTACGCTTTAATACTTTGACGTTCGCACGTTTCATCAGGATTTTTTTGTTTGGCGCCTGCGGTTTTTCGAGGTTTTCGGGAGATCATATATCGTCAGTTCTCATTAGTTTTCAATCCTGTCCTGCTATTTTCATGAAATTTCGAGGATATATGTAAATAAATATAACATTTTTTTTGTATTATATATTTATTTATTTATTAATATTTTATTGGGTACTTAGTATTTCTCTTTTAGATGATATGAAGCAAAACAATCTCCGAGGTGTAACGCGACTCCACAAGACTTACACATTAAATTTGTTGTCCTTCTTTTTTTGTTTTTGGAACATACATGGCACTTTCTTCATTTTCGTCGGTATCGGAAATTTGTATTAGCTGGTGTTGCTTTAGCTGACCGGAAAGTCTGTCGATCGAAGCATTTGTCGATGTCTGTAACTTATTGTTACTTAAACAGAACACAAACAGAACACCAACAGTACACAATCAGAACACAAACAGCACCACAGTGCTGTCACCGGCCTTTGCGTGATAATTTTGCGCACGACACCAACGTGGTGTCGCCAGCTTTTGCGCGATAGTTTTCGCGGGATACCAACGTGGTGTCCACGGATGGCATAGTGTTAATAGACAGTAATTCCGAAAATAAATTTGCAGAATATAAAAAAGAAAAATATACATATATATTTTATATATTTATTTGCAAAGTATAAAAAATGTACATAAATATATTTTAATAGAATATAAATAGACAAAATATATAAACCGACGTGACACACTTACAATTATTTTATGTAAAAATTGCATTCTGATTTGAAAAAATTTATCAAGACTCGAATTAGCGATCTCACATTTACGAGTAAAGCAAGGTGTCGCCGAGCCATATGATGTTTCATTTAGCGCTTCGCTAAATTTATTCGCATGTTACGTATTCGCTCGGGATTTTTTAACTTCGATTTTTTGGAAAATGCTTGAGAAATGTACTTTTTCCTTTTACTCAATAAAAGCTCACATCAAGGCTTCACCATAAACAATTATTGAAATCAGTGGTTATCATGTCGTGACCTCTTCCTTGTAAGCAGAAAAGTCTTATCATTTTGCAAACAACCATGCAAAACTTCAAGTTATTAATGACTTAAAATGGTCATCAATAGAGGTTTCTTTAATTATTCTTATAGACTGGGAAGCACTATAATAACGTGGCGGAAGTTTTTCACTAATTTATTATTTGATTTAGATAAAAAAGTTTTTGTTTAAAAACTGCAAAGTCACTCAAAATGCCGCCTAGTTTGTAAGGATTAATAACTCAAAAATTGTGTGTTATTTATAAAATGGTAAAAGACTTTTCTTTAAAATGGCCTAATCTACAAGTATATGATTGCTGTATCTAGCGACAGACATTAGTATATTGAACATTGAATCTCAAACTTTGAACCTGTCGCTAGATATAATAGCTATTATATACTTGTAAATTAGGCTATTCTGAATAAAAAAATCTTTTACCATTTTGAAAATAATTCAGTTATTAATTAACACATTTGCTTTGGATGACATATATGTCATTCGGGTTTTTAATTTGGGTTCGGATGACGCATATATGTGTCTTTGAGAGTTTCATACTCCTGTCTTAAAATAAATGTATAAAACGTTTAAATGGCTCAATTTCTCTTCAGAAATATCATAACAGAAGTTTTATGAATTAGAATAATTAAATACGTTTGCAACTTTTTGGTTTATTTAGTGATGTTCAACACTGAAACTTTAACGTAACGTATTGAGAGAAATCACGCGAAATTCTTCTGTACCCGGGTCAAGTGCGGTTCCAAACTTCTCGAAGCGAATGTGTTAAAGAAAAATCTATATGACTATTTTCAATAATTAATAACTCAAAATATTGCGTGATTATTTACAAATTGGTAAAGAAATTTTTCTGCTCAATTTAACCCGTTCTACTTGCACACGGCTGCTTGATCAAAACTTTTCGGACATTCTGTACATAGGATGTTTCTTTTTAAGTTCTGTCCATTCTCAGAGTAAATTTTTGAGATCATTTTATGAAATAGTTGACATGAAATAGTTTATATGAATATAAGGTCTTAAGAGATCGTTTCAGAAATATAGGTTGTTAAACATTTTATGAAATTATTTTTTTCTTAATATTTCGCAAATATCTTCTAATTATTGAAACGTATCTTTTTTTTTGTAGGTAATTAATGAGATAATAAAAGTCGGTAACAAAATTTGGTCCTGTCCATTGAGATACAAATTTGTGGCATTAACGTACTATCTAAACTCCATTCCTACGACATTAACTTATGAAAGGGTGACTATAAGTTAAAAAATGAATATAACACCCTGCCTATTATAATCTGGTCCAAATTTAAAAAAAAAAAAAACTTTTTGTATAGGAATTTTTGTATACGAGATAGAACGACTACCACCCTTTATTTCTGAAACCAGATATTATATTAATATTTAATACTAAAACTATCAAAAGCAGTCAAATGACCGATTTGTAATTTTTTCTTATAAAAATTACTCCAATTTCTAATGGTGCATTCTCTGAGATTAACACATTCACTACGGGTTAATGATGACTGCGGCCAAACGACTTTCTTGTATTGACAATGTGTCGACAGCCGCAGTAAACGTGTTAACCGTAATTTTTGTCGCAATGTGTAAACGAATAAATATTTTTTCCTTTGCATTACGTATTTTTTCATAAATCTTATTTAAACTGCTCCAATAGAAAGATACATGTTAATCGTCGGTAGTTTTAGTGTTAAGACCATATGTTCACATGAACTTTTTTTCATAAAATAATAATAAAAATTTAATTTCTAAAATGTTAGGCAGTATTTAATGCTTCTGGGTAGTTACTGCGATTCTCCTTGTTTAATTCTTCGATCATACACTTATGAAAAATTGCTCGCATCGCAAACAGAATCATATTAATCTTATGTGATTTTCTAAATTCCATCTCTGAAAATCTGTGAAAGGAAAGAGGTTGACAACAATCTAGAATGAAATGTAACTCTTCTACTTTAATACGTTGGGTGCGGGCTCAACCTTTAGATTGAGCTGGGCGTTCTCTCTTTATGGCATGTTGTTTTTAAAGTATTTGATGTAAAAATTATTTTTAAGTATTTAATTAAAAAAAAATATGCCGCCACAGGGGTCGAATTTTTATATATAACCGCACCTAACGTGTTAATGTTTGATCATGCCTTCATAGAAAATGAAATCATGTGTGTGTGTGTGTGTGTGTGTGTGTGTGTGTGTGTGTGTGTGTGTGTGTGTGTGTGTGTGTGTGTGTGTGTGTGTGTGTGTGTGTGTGTGTGTGTGTGTGTGTGTGTGTGTGTGT